GAATATGCAATTAAAGAAATCTCATTCAATTTGCTCTGACCCCATGAGAAAAATCGATCGAAATATCTAATTACCGTAATCTTGAGAGGCAAACATCTGATTTATTTATTGTCTGGGATATCAACTAACCCATAATAATAGTATTTGATGTGTTTTGAATATGCTGCCACCGCAACCATACCATAAACCTACCGTAGCATGAGTCCACCACGTAATCCGACACAGTTATTTTGTGATGCTGTTCTTTTTAGTTTTCCGTGCTGAAGACCTCCAAGCGAAGGATCTCGGTGGCAAAAGCGATCCTTTTGCTGTACTAGAGTTGGTAAACACGCGGTTACAAACGCACACTGAGTACAAGACACTCAATCCACAATGGAATAAATTGTTCACATTGTGAGTTTGTAGCGAAAGGTGAAGGAAGCGGTTGAGATAGGCTAATCTCCTCCTTTAGCGCTGTGAAAGATATCCATACCTGCTTGGAAGTGACAGTCTATGATGAAGATCCTAACAATAAATTTGAATTCCTTGGGAAAGTTGTTATTCCACTGATGTCGGTAAGGACGACTTTTGACGTTGCTCTTCTTGCTTAATTATGAGCAGAAATTTTCTAGATCAAAAATTGTGAACGGCGGTGGTATGCTCTAAAGGACAAGAAGCTAAATACCCGAGTTAAAGGCGAAATTTTGCTCGAACTCGATGTCATATGGAATCCAGTAGGGTTACAAATTTTTACGTTGGGAAAATTTGCAATAACTAAACTTAATTATTCAGGTTCGAGCAGCTATTCGCACATTCAATCCACGTGAGCGAAAATTCATCGAAGTGGAGAAGAAGTTTAAGGTAGATCTGGGAAGCAAAGATAATACGAGCGCCAGAATTAGAATTTTAGGCCAGCTTGTTCCGAAACACTGTATTGGAATTGAAAGAATTTGGATTGACTATTGTAGATTACAAAAACTACATTGAGAGTTGCTTCGATTGGCATTCAACGACCAGATCAATAACTGCTTTTGCGGTAAGTCAGAGTCATTTTTTTTCATTATTGAAATCTATCTTTCGTCCCCTCCCCCACCCCTCTTTCCATTCTTATCAACCAGTCATCTGGGCTGGAATGTATCAATCTCCCTGTCGGAGATCGGGTGCGCTTTTACAATAGAAAATGAGCTCCCTATCGGGA